AAGTTCAATAATGTATATTTGTGTGTGTGTATATATATATATATTATATTAAATCCATAAATGTTATCAAGCATAGTGCTCAGTACTAAATATAGATAGTAATTTATTTTAATGCTGCCATACTTGTTTTGATTTCATTGACCTCTAGAACCATTTCATGCACATTAGTAAAGATTGTGAACATGTTAGAAAACTCTATAAATAGAAACAGAAACTTTGAGATTTTTGTTTTCAAATAACTTCCTGTACCATTTATTAAACTACTGTCTCTAAACTTTAAACTCACCATTCTATAATGTACTTTGTGAAGCTGGCACTGGAATTACAAGCCACACTTCCTGTTGGCTCCCTGTTTGGCAATGCCATGAGAGGGGACCAGAATGAGAGCAGGAGGCTGGAAGACCATGGAGAGGCTTGCTCCGTCCTATTTGCTTCTTGAATCTGTCTTTCTGCTTGTTCTCCCTGTGCACTCTAGAAACCATTTTTCATGCTGCAGTAGCACATCATTCTGTAGCAGATGTTGATGCCAGTTTTTAGTTATTCCAATGCTCATAGAACCAATCCCAGTGTCCCTCCTCAGCGACATTCGCATTGGCTGGCTAGGACACCATTTTCAAAGGTTTGAGTGGCAGCTTCGTGGGCAATTCCTCTGAGCTCAGAATGAGATACTAGCACCAGACAAGCAGCGCGTCTATAGAGCACTTCCCTTAGTCTGACAGGTTTTAATCATCTCAGCTTCTTCCCTGTTTCCCCAGCCCTAGGGGAGGCTGCCTCCTGAAGCCCCACAATACCTTATTTCAGTGTCCCCCTTCGCCTTTCCAGGTCTTCAATACCTAGTCATCGATTCTTTATCAATTGATTCTCTAATAGGTTAAGTCTGTTCTTTTTTTTTGAGGGGGTGGTTACAGGTTTTTAAATTTTTCACCCAAAGCAGCCTGTACTATTTCATCCTTTTTCTGCATCCCCGTAATCTTGTTCATTTACCATTTTTCTTCATTGTTCAGATACCATATGGGTTTCCCTAACTTTAAAGGACTAGATGGTTTTGTTTGCAATTCTTCACCCACATCATTACAATTTTTAAAAACAATTCTAACCAAAAATATCTGTGCTGGCAGAGCAGACATATTTAATCATTTTCAACCATTTCCTTGTATTTTATTAAATTCAGGGTATACTCTCTGTGTACGAATTCCTCCAGGCTCTTAAGTCCTGGTTTTGAAGTTAAAACACACCCAAGACAAATATAGCTAGAAAAAGAGGGAAGGTGGCAGTAGGGGTGGGAAAAAGAGGGACAGTGATTTTTTTTGGAAATAGAGAAACAGTAGGCTATCAGTGGTGATAAGGAAAAGACTGGCTGTGTGGTAACAGTAAGAGATGTCAGAGGAGATGGAATATTCCCTGGTTATCTTTATAATAAGGGTGTGCATTGCGCTTTATGACCCATGAGGAGACAATGACCCTTCCAGAATGCCTGCATTGGCCTAGACACTTTAACTTGGGACCACCTGGAATTCATTTTAGGAAGACAGAACACTCCAGAAGGATTAAGGACCTTACCTCAAAGACTGAATGAATTAGTTAGGGGGAAATATCTTCCAAATTTACTTTAAAAAGTTTCAAAAATGCTATTTAAAGCTAAAAAGCCAAAGAAGCAAGAACACAGTCAATTAATACTGTGAAATATTTGGGGTAAGAATTGGGATGAAGTAGGAAGGAAGAAAAGGACTGCAAGACTTGTTACCTAAGGGATATAATTATGCCTGCAACATATTTCCCAGGGATATTTCAATCTTTAAGTTTTCAGCTTCTGTGCTTTCAAAAACCAGCCGTATAAGTGTGTGATCCAGAGGCAGTGTGAGACATATCACTGATTACTCTGAGCTCCCAACTGTCCTATTTTTTATAGCTATCTATAGCTATGTAGTTGACAATAAACTATTTTATAAATGTCAGCCACTTCTCACAAGTTTAAATTGCTTGCTTTCTACCTGTGAAACACTTAGAGAAATGACTTTAAGTTTTTCTCTAACTTAACCCTTAGTTGCAGCAATCAGAGAAAATTTGATTTTGTATAAGACTTCTTTCAATGAATGTTTTACTTGAATGTGGTAACTACTTCTTAAACTGGAGCTTAGTGCAGTTTTGTGAGTAGGTAAAATTACATTTTTGTTTTAAATTTAAAAATAACAGTCTATCTTTGCAGACCTGGAATAGATTTCTAGGAACTCTAGTCCCTCTGTTCTATGTAGGACACCCCTCTGGGGCATCCCAGTTGGGGGACCTTTTATTTATTAATTGGTAACTCCAATAGGTGGAAAATGTTGATGCTCAAAGCATCCATTTCTCATTCATTGAATGAGAAGAATGTTCTCCCAATCAGCTACTCAAGGTATAACTAAATTGAAACATGCCCATTCTGATAAGCCAGAAGAATCAAGAGCTGATCTGAATGGGTGGAGGAAGCCAGAAAGAACATATTGAAAAAGGTGAGTGTAGAATGGCAGGAAGATAATTAATTGATCATAAAGGAGCAGAAAATAATCTGATGAATGGAAGCAAATTATTTAGCTTTGTTTCATATGAGATGAGTAGAAAAATGAAAGTAAGGATGTTTCAGTAAATGTGGCATCCTTTAGAGCAGTGGTTCTCAACCTTCTGGCCCTTTAAATACAGTTCCTCATGTTGTGACCCAACCATAAAATTATTTTTGTTGATACTTCATAACTGAAATGTTGCTACTGTTATGAATCGTAATGTAAATATCTGATATACAGGATGGTCTTAGGCGACCCCTGTGAAAGGGTCGTTCGACCGCCAAAGGGGTCGCGACCCACAGGTTGAGAACCGCTGCTCTAGAGAGATAAAATATAGGATCATGCCTATTTCTATTTTGAACTGTTTTCATTTATTTGTTCAGTAAATATTTATTGAGCACTTATTTTGTGTGTGTGTGTGTATTTTTTTTTAGTACTTAGTTGGAGAGTAGGTATGTATATACAGAATAACAACATCTAATACATCTTTAGATGAATGTACTGATGAAGTGGCCTATTTTCTTTTCCCTCTCTTTTGAACATTGCTATGGCTTCCATATCTACCTCATTAGTCTATTCCACAACCCTGGTAGGTTGAATGCTATGCCTATTTTACATGAAGGAACTGAGCAAGCACAGAGGTGTTTAGTGAGGGGCCCAAGCTTGCATCTAGAAACAACCATCTCTGTTTGGCTCCCAAACTACTCTTAACTGCCACACCAGCTGCCGGCCAGAGCTTGTCAAAGTGATAGTGTACCGCTGCCAGCAAGTTTACTTGAACAGATAATCTATAGTATATAGTAATGAAAAATGAAGTTTTAAAATTAGTATTTAATAAAGGCGTAAGACTGCCATTATCGAATTCAGAAGTGACAAAGTAACAACAATGATTGCAAAAGAGGATTCTAGACTTCTTTAATTAAAGAACTGGAAGGAAGTAGAAGTGATTTTGTTTGTTTGTTTGTTTTTGAAAAGGCATGCCAGTAATAGTCATAGCATGATATGAGGCAGGATTAGGTTCATGGACAATTTGAAGGAAAATTCATCCGAAGCTGGGAAGGTGAAGGTGAGGAGCTAAGGTAATGGAAGAGTTAAAAAATCATTCCTTAGTTGGCAAGCTTAGGAAACCAGGGGTGGTAAGTATACTATGATTGATAAAAAAAAAATGGAATGAAGTGGTTCTTTTGGGTATGGTGAAAAATATTCAATATTCACATAATCAGGAGCTTTATTGTATATTTAGAGAGTACAATTCTATGGCATCCTCTCCAGCTTTTATCCACCCCCAATTCAAACTTTTTATCTCCCACCAGAGCAAAAGACCAAAACACTTTTATAGGAAGCGATAATTTGGAAAGACTGGGCTATAAAGCCGGTTGACCTTGGTGTTGATAACAATAATGGATTTGGTTAGACCAGAGATCCCCTCTTTCTAGCAGCCCTATGTAAAGACAGTGAAGGCTGTTTTTGCCTTTTGTCATTGGTATAGAAGTTACTTAGATTCCAGGGTCTTTCTGTCCTTCCTCTCTGCCTTTCCTGCCCCCTCCTTCCCATTTTGGTTGTAGGTGAAATTCACAAGGTGTGCTTGAGTCACTGTGGCTGATTTCTCAAGATAATGAATAATGATTTTAATTGGATAACTGACTGAAAAACAGAAAAGATCTTAATTTGGGGTATATTTTATATAGATCTGTCTCTAACTGATCCTGATCAATATCTCCCCTTGAGCCCCATCCTGTTTGTTCAGAGAAAAATTTGTTCTTGTTTTATATTCAATAAATGAGTCACCAAAGTGTCTTAATATGTATTAGACACCATTTAACATATTGGAAATTTTACTTACCAGTGGAGTTAGTTTTATCTCAAATATTTCCTTATTAATTCAATCCAAACAAGCTTTTCAAAAATCTATATTTTGTAAATGTGTGTGCATGTTTCCATCATTAACTTATAAAACTTTATTCAACTTTAAAATATTAACTTCTATTTCTCACTTCAACAAAATTGTCAGTATTTTTCCTTCTAATTCACTCATTCTTTGTCTTGAAAGAAAAATCAATAATCTCTATGCTCCAAGGTCTATATTTATCACATTCAACCTTCTTCTACTCTCCTAACAAACAACAAAAACAATAAAGGAACAAACTCAAGAAACAAAAATAAATTGAAAAGAGAGAGAAAGAAAATAACAACTAAAGGCACCAAAGTCTGACGTGATTTCATAATAAGAGAATAGAAAATATTTCAACAAACGTATGGCATTACATGATGGGCCGCATCTTTAAGAGTTTGAGTAATCAATAGAAAATATAAATTTATTGAACATATTTTCTCACAAATATTTCACATGGTTTTGCTGTAAATTTTATGGCTTGTCACAGATACATACCTCTTCAATAAGATTCTAGAAAAGGAAGGAAGATATTACCAGGAGTTGCACTACAGCTGTCACTTCATACTTACAGCAACGGCCTCCAGGATTTGTTTAACAGCATCTGCAGCATCTCGTTCACTGTAATATCCCTTTTCCACAATCCTAAAAAATACACATGTGCTCAGTTGAGTGGATGCTAAAAGAAGTTAGTTATATTACTGTTAAAGAGGATGCATCCAAATAATTACAACAGGCTACCCTAACACTAGAAAAAAGATTTCCATAAACTGGCACTTCAGAAATCTTTGAGTTTATTTAAGAAAATAAAAGACATTCATTTTCTATTAACATTATAAAAATAAATAGGACAATTTTTTTTTTATTTTTAAACTTTGTATTGTGAATCATTATAAGCATATACCAAGTTAATAATATGACATCAACCATCTCTGTACTTTCAGGAATGTTTTGAATTTATTTTCTTCCATTACTTTGGTTTTCTTCGTTGGGTTGTGTATTTATACACATATAAATGTTTTTCAACTTTTGATTTACATGGTTCTTCTATAATTTTCTTAATTTTAGTTTATTTTGCAATATTGAGCTATAGTTTTAGCCATACCATGGGCACATCCTCCTGGCATGCTTTCACTGCCTAAAGGAAACTTTTTCTGCTTATTTTCTGTGCTCTTTTAATCATTTTATATTGGAATTAAATGAGACACCTCTCTGTTGCTGTTTATGTTCAAGCCAAATTGGTTTGCTTTTTTAAAATTGTAGTTAACAAACAATATTTTATTAGTTTCAGGTGTACAACATAGTGATTTGACTTTTATATTCCTCACAATGTGATCACCACAAGTCTAGTAACCATCTGTCACTGTGCAAAGTTAATACGATGGTACCGACTATTGTCCCCACACTGTACATTACATCCCCATGACTTATTTTATTTTTTGCAACTGGAGGTTTGTATCTCCTTTTCCCCTTCACCCTTTTGACAGAGAGACGGGCCACGCTATCTTTCCTAGCTTCATGGCTTTTGACCTTCTGTGTTTTGTGTTTGGTTTTGTTTTTTTCATGAAGCATTAAAAGTATGATCTAATACTTTCTGAGATCTTCTCTATCTGGAACTTCATTCCCTTGCCTCTACCATTTCTACTCTGATTATTGGAGTTTCTCCCTAGCAGTTTCTCCTAAATATTGGGCTTTTTCTTACGGGGCGTCAGGTATTAATTTCAGGAGTTCACAGGGCCTTTGAATGCATTAGTCACTTCAGACCTTATGTGAATCCAGCTTTACACTTCTCAGAAATTCGGATGGCAAAATGGATTTCAACTGCTTTCCTTGCATTGGCCCATCTTGCTTCCCAATAATTTGGAGATTTTAGAAATTTGAGAGTTCTGCCACTCTTAGGTCACATGACCTCTAGTTAACCATTGCTTCCTCTTACATAGATGCTAACACCAGTGGCTCTTGGACTTGTCATTTTTTCCTCATTCACTTGTATGTTAGGCTTCATGGGGATACCTTGTCACCTGGTTTTGTTATGTCGTCTGTGAGTTTTTGTTTTTTTCTGTCCTAGTTTCTCTGTCTATTCTTAAATTACTTTTTATCTTACCAGAATTTCAAGAGAAAACACATTTTGGAGATGGCATTGTATAAGATGTTATTAGCTAATAAAAAGTTTGTAGTAAAGACGTGAAAAAATCAACTCAAAACATAAAAGAGACAAAACAACCAATTTTCATAATTTTGGACTGAAATTTGTTTTAGATCATTGATTCCTCAAATAGTATAGTTATTTTTCAGAAAGTATCTTCCTTTTTGAAAAAGAAATTAGCAAGAAGTTGTAAGTTCTCGAAATAGCTGGTGTTAAAAGTTGAATTTAAAATCTATAAAATGTTTTCACAATAGGGGATTAAGGGTGAGAAATGCAGAACACAACATTATGACAAAAATAAAAGAAGATATCCCAATGATCATAACTGTCAAGATTCAGAAAAATTATATTGATACAGAAAATCCAATTATTTTATTTTCTCCATTCAATTATTTAGAATATTGTCAAGAAACACAAATTCATCTTTTCAAAGGATAGAAGATGGAATATTTTTCTCCCTTTTTTGTTTCTTAGATAACTGTTATGCAATAGGATCAAATAAAATGTGAAAATACATTAAAATATTTGGGGGACTATTATTAATTGGTTCTTGAAAATCAATTTTCATCTGATATTTCCTTCCAAGAATACACATTTTTCTTGAATTCATGTTTGAGTTCATAGTCTACCTACTAAAAATGTAATTGAAATAATTTCTTGAACTATACTTTCTGAACATTTTAAAATTAAGTACAAGAGAAGGAGAAAAGGACTGTTGCATCAGAGAAAGTTTAAAACTTTGACTACCATTATATCAACCACTGCATTTTGCTCTAAATATGGATTTTGTGGGACACCCACCACCCAACACGAATGTAATTAGTGTCTCCTCTGTGCACTCCACCTGCAAGCCTCAGATGAGACCACACATAGTGGAGAAGTTATTAACAAAAACATTATCATAGATGCAATTCATGCTATATTACGGTTTGTACAGATGAAGGGTTTATTAATTCTGTTGTCAGAAATGTCTCTAGAGTAACATGTGGGGCAGGAGCACAAAATGCAGGCACCTTCCCTGCCTCACCTCAGTGTGAATTCTGCACACCATAGCTTGGCCCTACCATCAGAATGCAATTGTTTCTCTTCCAGGCTCCTTCTCCTAAAAGGAACTTTGTTCCCAAGTTGATTGTTCATCAGAGTGTCACAGAGTTAGGTTCCTGGAACTCAGATACTCAATTTTAAATATTTTATAAGTTGAGCTACCACCAAGGCCATCCATGACTGACTAGGAAAATCAATAGCATGAACTTCTCAAGGTGCAAATGCAGGTTTATCACTCAGAACGAAGATGATAAGTGAAGATTCTAGTGACCAAGCAAAGAAAAATGAAGTTCTGCAATCTTTATCTTTCCATTTAGGTAGCATGACTACAGTAGATGTGTTGAGCCAGTGCCTTCTACAGGTATGGTGGCAAACATCTTAGTTTCTCACTAGATTGTTGCTTTGATCACCCAGAGAGCCTAGCTCCAAGACTTACTCATAGTAGGCAATCAATAAATGTTCGTGGAATCAGTATCAATTACCAAGTAAATGATGCCAGAAAAATGTCAGACTGCGGACATTTGGACAACTCCTTTGCCTATGTTCCTTATCATAGGGAACAAAAGCACTGAACAAGCAAGTACACGGGCCAGGGATCCAGGGGAGAACCATCATATAGATGCTTCCCAAGGCAAAATGCAATAGGTGGAAGGGTTACACTGGCCTTAGGAAGAAAGTCAGAGTCACATAGTTTCTAGATATCATTGTAATACATAAACCTTTTTAGAATCGTATTTTGAGCAAAACCAAAATGATTCAAATTTATTAAAATAGAGTAATTTTGTTCCATGAAACAACACAAATTCCTACCTAAAATTTAGCTGAAAAAAATTTTTCTTAGTTTCCCATGAATTGAACATGCATATACAGTAAAGAGTTTATAGCTTTACATAGAAAATACCAGGACTTCAATTTTTAGAAGCAATAAAATGTTCAATCATGATAGCGTTTTTAGAGCTGTAAAAATAGGAGGATAATTATGGTTATTTTTGTTTTTATATTTAAACATACGTATTGCTGTATTTCTCTTCATATTTAATAAACTAAGTCATGCTTTGTAAAATAACAAGAAGGCAGTTACAATGCCACCAGCATCTTAAGATCATTTTCAAAGGCCCAGGGCCATGTAGTTTGTTGCTATGCCACACAATTTCCCATAGTTCCATGCGGTCTGGGTTAGAAGGCTCAGTGATAAAAGCAAAATCTTTCCTAGGATTTTAATAACAAATCTGACCCAAAAGGCTGCCTTGGGATCCCAGTGTTTTCAGGTCCCTGAGTCGCTAACTCGTCTAGCCGACATCTGGAGATCTGGGAAAGCAGCACAATAAGGTGTGTTTCCCTGGGCTCCAGGCTGTGACTCTGTGGCCCCAACAGGCCTTCTACTCCAGGCTGTGCCTTTTCTTTCCACTGTTTGCTGTGTTAGTTCATATGCTACTCTTCCCCACAATTGGGATGTTTTCCTTCTCATCATTTTAAAATTGTAGGAGAAAACACAGGCAATGCCTCTTTCTCTCCATGGATCTGCTTTAAAATACGACTTCTGTGCATTTGTTCTGTCACCTTAATTGCTGCAAATTGAATTGAGCACATCTCCAGCTGGGCAGTTAGCACAGGCAGTGCAGCTGAAGAGCTCTAATCTGATCATATCCAGAGGCCTCAGACTTCCTGGCACGTACATTGGGAGCCTACTGCCTTCTCCACCAATGGCGGCTTTTTTTCAAATGGCGATGTTATTGTGATTAGATGACTGTAGGTTAATGTGAGAAAGACATCGCTCTTATGAAAATGTGTACTAAAAGATTGAATGACAAATGGTAAAATCCCCAAATAATATGAGTTTTAGGAACCAAGTCTTAAAGACTGCTAGTACATCATTATGCTGTTACATACCAAAAAAATTACACTAAAATGAATTCCACTGTTTCCAATTAAATCCACCACTCCTTTATAAGCTTCATTCACTGCTTTTCCTCATTTCATCGATGGCCCATTGGTCTGTATTGATGCTTTTTCTAAGAACTTTCCCAAAGAGTATTAAATTCATATATTTAAAAAATAATTTCAAAGGTATTATTACCACCTGTTAAATTTGAAAGGTAGGGAGAGAGTGAGGAGACTGTGGGTCAATGTGGGTGCTGGCCAGGAGCTGACAGTGCAGGAGAAAGGGAAGGCCAGATCCAATTGTAGACCTGGGAACAGAGACCAGGGATTTCTAGTTCAATTCTCTCCTACTATACAATAAAAGCCTGACCCAAAGACGTTATATAAATTGCCCAAGAGTCCACTGTTTATTAAATCCCTCATTTGACAAATATCCAGCAGCTTCTTGCTTCCTGTCTCAAACAGCTTCTAAAATGGAGACTAAGGTTCTCTATCTATCCCCCACTAGCGCAACCTGCTTTGGGACATCACTTTGTCCTTCCCTCTTCCCTTTGCCTGCTGATTTATGATTTCTCACTTAGGATTCAGCTCAAAGACTCTATTCCTCCCTGAAGCCATTTCTGATTTAGAAGATTCCCATATTTAGTATTCCGTGTACTGTTTATTTCCCAATCACAGCATTTATCATGTGAATCCTTATAGCCAAATCCGTGGCCAACCTCTAGCAAATACAAAGCATCGTATTATATGTCTTTTCTGTGCCAGTTCTTATCTGTATATATTGTTAGTCCCTTCTCATTTATTTATTCTTTTATTTTATTAATTAGTTAATTTATTTATTTATAATGTTCAATAAATTTCTAAGAGTCGTGACTAGCCCAAGCAGGATGGAAGACCAAAACCTCTGCAGCTTTCTTTTTCACATTATACCATAATTTTGTAGAAGTCTTTTTGGGGGCCAGATTTTCTTGGACGTACACACGAAATCACTGATTTTATTCCAAAAATGTTAATCAATCTTCCTATGCAATTTACTGCTTATATTCTACACGAAATGGAAAATTTCACTTGGATTTTTACTAAGTTTAGTTTTTTAGAAGCACCATAAAATAGATCTTTTATTGCTAATAAAATACAACCATTTTGCCCATAATGTACTAACATGATTATCTTTTCATCAATTGCTCCATTAGTGCATTCATTAGATACAATTAAGGCCATCATTAGACCAGGGATGAATTTTTATCATCACAATTAAATAAATTTCGTTTTTGACTTGAGTAAGGAAAAAGAAAGTATATTATGATTTTTAACTCTCAAGAAAGAAAACAATGCATAGATAATAATAAATGATATGTTTTCAGCTTGATACAATTTTAAAGATAACTGCAGAATTAAGTAATATAATGGAGAAACCAAGTTCATCTCAGATATGGCAACAGACATGTAGACAACAATATTAACGGGGAAAGACAGTCTACTGTCTAAGACCACTGAGAGTTTATAGAGTAGTTGAGTGCTTTACTGGCTGTCTGCCATTCTTTAGATGTATTCTGTTAATTCTGAATATTTCATCAATTTTCTCTGTAAATGAAATTTATCACCAGCATTCAGTTTTTTTTTCATTTTTGTTTAAAGCTGAATTAACTCTATCCCATCAAAATCAACTAGACTACAAGATGAGAGAACCAGAATTATTTCATGAAAAAAAGGTTGGGAAATAAGGAAGGAAAGAGACTCATGACTCCAAAATAACTTGTACAAAGAAAGGTAGGTAGGTAAATAATATGTGCTGTTGGTAGACAATAGCTTCAGTGTGACATCCCTGTCCTGCAATTATTTACAATTAAAGAACATGAGATTTCTCTCTGAGTTCTCCTTCAAGAGACCTCATGGCTACAAAACCAGCAGGATTTAACCATACATAGACTCTAAATGTACCTAAAGAAGGAATATGTTCATGAAAGAGTCGGCTAAAGAGGTATTAAAAAAGGAGCCACTATTGGCAAATTTTGGCAACATTCAAATAAGCTAGTCCAGATGAGTCTTGACTAAGCGTGGGAACATGGTGGTTTTAGAACAGGACTTTCCTGATATAATCAGAGTGATCAGACTGTGTCAGATCCGAGACCGAGTGGAACAGAGTGTCTCAGCATCAGAGAACTGCATCAAATTTGTTCTGAGGTTCGGAGAAGTTAAGCAAATCAGGTTAGTTAGTTATTGGTCCCTTAAGTATAGCTACTAGCCAACTGCCACAAGAAGTATATATTTAAAAACTGATGCCTACTTCCCTCAGTTGATTCATTTATTGGTGATGAATGAATATACTGAAAATGTTACAACTCTCAAAGTCTGCTCATTCATAGCACTTATTTTAAGGAAACTTCAACATATGTAATGAACAAATTATGTATCTGTTGAAGATATACATGTAGCTCCAATCAAGCTGTGCCATTATGCTCCTTCCTACTTGATGATCCAAACCTTCACTGGATAACATTTAAAACAGAACCTTTGAAAACCAATATAATTACTTTTAGAAGCTCTTGAGTACTTCCTCACCCAACACAATCTAAACTTATCCCCTTTATTTTTAAATTATTTTTAAAAAATATTTCTTTATTGATTTCAGAAAGGAAGGGAGAGGGAGAGAGAGCGAGAGAAACATCAATGGTGAGAATCATTGATCTGCTTCTCTTGCATGCCCCCTACTGGGGATCAAAACCAAAACCCGGGCATGTGCCCTGGCTAGAATCGAACCTGGGATCTTCCAGTCCGCAGGCTGATGCTCTATCCACTGAGCCAAACCATCTAAGGCTAAACCTATCCCCTTTAAGTATCTTCCTTCTCAGAGTCCACTAATCTTAATGGTTGTTCATTCGTTCATTCATTCATTTAGCAAATATTTATTGAGAATTTGCTGTGCTTTAGGCACCTGGATACATCAGCAGTTCCCTCAATCTCTTTTCTGTCTTCTGTCTACAGTCCACATCTTCTTAACCAATTTTATAAATCAACAGGACCTTTACATCTGTGCATAACTTCTAACCATTTCTAATATATACCTACTCAGTCCTTTGACTTCTTCCAATTTCATTATGTTTTTATTATGCCAATGAACATAGCAAAGGGGTCCCAAGAGATAATCAGGGTAAACAGGGAATTCTCCTGAGAAGACGAGGAAGGTGGGAAAGCCATGGAGACTTGAAGCTTGTGTCTCTTAGACAAACAGTTTGTCTATATTATTATGCTCTACCAGTTTTCTAGGCACACTCCCAGCCATCCTCAAACCTCTGTCTTGAGTGATGAACATATGAACAGACAACTAAAATTGGTTATTATTGAAGAACATGTTGCACTCTGCAACTTGGAACTCTTTACAGAGCCTAACATAGAAAGTAGGCCTCAAAATAGTCATTTGAAGAGTATTGATTTTTAAGAGCTTTTGGATCATAATAAAGAATACAATTATAACACATCTAACTTTCTATCTAATGTTTTCTTACAAAATATTGTCATAAATCTTACTGTTTAGTTTAGATTTAGTATGACTTTAGAAATTCTGTGTTTATTGGGGAAGTAAATTTTTGCAAAAGTAAATAGATATAATGCTTCCCTTTTTATTCACTAAACATCCCAACTTTTCATCCACTTACATCTTATCAGGTATGACTCTCCTTTTGTTCTACACTCCTCTTAAGATTTATTTTAGTAGAATTTATTAACTAGTATGATGTGTCCTTATAGAAAATTTCAGGAGAAATTTCCCTTTAATTCTTTTTTGGTGATTAGAAGCAAAGCCTTTCTGTGGTTGGATTTCCAGAACCAACTCACCTGTCAAACAGCTCTCCTCCTGTGACAAGTTCCAGGACCAGACTGATTTCCGTAGGGGTTTCAAATATCTCTTTGAGTTTTATCTGGAGAAAGATATAAAAAATGATCACACATTCCTTATTTTCACCTTTCTAAGAAATAGCTAAAGCTATGGCTAAAACAAAACTCTAACAGTAATGTGTTGGATCATTGTCAATGAAAGGTCCATATGCCAGTATCAGGGAGCCGTTTGTCACTCTCTGGTTGTTATTATCAGTGACCTCATTTCTTCAAGGGTCCTTTTGAGTTTTGATATTATTCCTTTTGACAGATGAAAGATACCTGCCTTAGAAACACTTTCTAATTTTTATCAAAATATCTCGGTTTCTGGATTGCTGCAGAATCTATACACATAAAAGCCTAAGCGACCAAACCACCAAACAACCAGTTGACTGGTCGCTATGGTGTGCACTGACCACCAAGGGGCAGATGCTCCATGCAGGACTTACCCCCTGGTGGTCAGTGCACTCCCACAGCCAACCTCCCGTGGTCCCTCCCCCTGGCTGGCCAACCTCCTGCAGCCCCTCCCCCTAGTGGGCCAACCTCCCATGGCCCCAATTGGACCCAATCACCGGCCAGGCGGAGGGACCCCACCCATGCACAAATTCGTGCACTGGGCCTCTAGTTTAAAAATAAAAGCAAACAAACAAAACTTCTTAAGCCATTGGAAAGCATCATGGTTGCTGGAAATGCAAATTCATCTTCTTCCAGGAAGGAACTTGGAATCTGGGTCTGAGACAGAATAGGACCAGGGGAAAGTATGTCTTTGTGGAAAGTAGGAACCTCAACTGCTAAAAAGTCACTGGTAGATGAAGGGATCCTCAGAAATGTAGAGTGGCAATGATTTGATTGACCATAACAGGGTTTCCAACACATTCAGATAATCCATCTAATTTTGGATATTTTCCTGAATACATCTGAGAATCTAGTGACAGGACTGATCTACATTTAAGGACAATTCTACATTGACTTCTCTTTGAAAGCAAAAGATGGACAATGAAAAGTTGATGATTGTATGTGGCACATTTCATTGATTGCCTACGCAAAGCCCTTCTCCCCCTATGTTATTGCAAACAGAACTTTGAATTTGTTTAGGGAAGAATGGTGCCTGTCCTCCAAATATGGATGGTAATTGGTCTGAGCCACTTATGATAACCCTGCTCCCCATTTTTCCAGGCTCTATGAAGTTAAGGCTGCTCCTGTGACCAGCTCTGACCAATAAAATCTGAAGAGAATTTTGCTGTAACTGGAAATTCTGGAAAAACTTTTACTCTTCTCATAGGACTCTGCTTTGGGGACTTTCCACTTTATTCTGTCTTGAATACAGACCTGAAGGTGTGAGAAGTATATGGAACAGCCATTTGAAGACCATGAGGGAAAAGCATGAAAGCAAAGGCACTGAGGGTGGCAGAACCAATGGATAGTAGGCATCTGGGTTTTGTATGACATCACTGAGGGGCTAAACCAATGCTAGGAATTGCCTGCCTTCTGATCTCTTATAACTTAAGAAAAACATCTCCAGCGGTTCTCAACCTGTAGGTCGCGACCCCTTTGCGGTCGAATGACCCTTTCACAGGAGACGCCTAAGACCATCCTGCATATCAGATATTTACATTACGATTCATAACAGTAGCAACGTTACAGTTATGAAGTAGCAACGAAAATAATTTTATGGTTGGGTCACAACATGAGGAACTGTATTTAAAGGGCCAGAAGGTTGAGAACCACTAGTTTAGACCAATATATTCAAGTTTTCTGTTATTTATAGCTGAGTGCTATAAATAACACTGCTAACTCATATATTAAGTTTTAAGCACTTGTCTTTGAGCCTAAGCATTGCAGGCCACTCTCCTGGATGCAACTTTCCCAGAGAAATGAGTAAAATACTTTCTTTAAGTAGTTGGCTCAACATAAAAACAAGTGATGGCCTGGAAACTGACTTTGTTCTTTTCACTTCACTGGCTGAGAAAGCTTTTCTCCAGACCTTGCCCTCAGTGCCTTTGGACACAGCCTAAAGCACAGCTTCCGAAAACCTTTTGTTTTCCCCATTCAAGCACAGCATTTATTTGAACCTTCACATTGTTTCTGAAGCAGACACTCCCTCTGAGGAGGCTGAAATGACTTTTGAAAGCAATGCATTTTCTTCACAGGCTTTTTCAGTAACGGTGTATTAATAAGATGGACACACAGAAGGAAAAAGACATTGCTTTATTAGCGCGAGACAAAGCTATCCAAATTTTAGCTATCCTTTTATGCATAAAAATAAAGAGGGTATATATTGCTGACCTTTCCATTTTTAAACTCTTTTGAAAAGATTCATTCGGCTAAAGAATTGAAAGTTGTGGTCAGATGAGGACAAGAACCTGTGGCTGTTTACGGGTGGTGGGTGAATCCCTTTTCCATGATCAGCGTGGACAGTAAAAAACAAAAATCCCATTCTATTACTTTAGAGACAATTTGAAATAGTAGTTAAAAAATCACTTACAATGTTTGGATGTGAGAGGCGAAGAAGAACTCCTATCTCAGTTCTTACGATTTTTTTGTCCACCTAAAAGCCAAAATGAAAGAGAGAAACTGAAAGAAACTTCCACTTTAGAAATGTCTTAATTATAGCAGAGAATCAGAAACAGCAATCACTCACTGCCTTGGTGAATCAGGTAATTGGCAGAGGCGCATTCCTAAGCTTTTTTCTTGTGTCTCCTTCACTCCCACCCTCCTTGTCTTTCCCCATGTCTTTCCTCTCTGCTTTATCATAAAGTAGAACTAGTTACAAGTACGGGTCACAACTTACCAGACCCCTTGCATGCCCCGTTTCCTATCAAAAGTCATTGCTATCACCATTAAGGCAAAAGTTCATGTCAACCTATTCTCTTTCTCTCCCTTTCTTTTATGAATCCCTGTCCCAAACCCACTGGAGCTGTCAATCACTTCACCTGCCTTTTTCACTCAGCAGTGGCCACATAAAGCAGCCTGACCAATCAAAGTACTGTTTCCTGGCCATAGTGATTGGGTCATGGATATCCACCAGACTCAAGTCATCCCAATCAGGGTCTTCCCTAGAAATTTTGCTCAAATAATAAAAAAAATAGGTATTTTCTTTTTCTCTGAAATTGTGAGATCAGAAAAAGAATAGAATATGCCACTGCCAGTGTCCAATTTTGATACCATATGGGAACTACTTAACTGAAAATAGAGCCAAAATAGAAAAAAAAATTTTTTCTGAGGGTTGAAGAATGAGTACTGGTGACATAATAATCCACTGGATTCAGTTATGCATAAACTAGTTTGGCCTTTGAGATTTCTTACTATATGAGCCACTAAATTTCCTTTTCTATTAAGTTATCCAGAGTTAGTTTTCTGTTGCTTGCCATTAAGGAATCCTAGCTGGGCACCACTTGATCTCTATATTTAAAAGAGTAGCCATTTACTTTAGGATATTAAAAAATTAGGAGTATTCCCCTTTCTAGGTCAATGATTGACACTTTTAATCACAGTGAACTGAAGTTTTAGAAGTCATATACTAGAAAGAAAGGTCTTAGTGTCTGCCTCTCCCAAATAGCTACACACACTACTATACTGGAGATTAAAACAGATTTTTAAGAAGTATTTTAATAACTTAGCCTGGCCGGTGTGGTTCAGTGGTTGAGCATTGACCCATGAACCAAGAGGTCATGGTTTGATTCCCAGTCAGGGCACATGCCTAGGTTTCAGGCTCAATCTCCAGTGGGGGCGTGCAGGAGGCAGCCAATTGATGACTCTCTCTCATCATTGATGTTTCTATATCTCTCTCCCTCTCCCTTCCTCTCTGAAATCAACAAAAATATGTTAAAGAGAAAAAATGTATTTTAATAACTTAAAATAGAACAATAAGAAACTTGTTATATTTTAGCATAATATTGTCTTAAAAATAACTACATTTTCCAAAATTAAAAAATACATATACTCCTGTGCTGAGAGCTGAGAAGGTTGGGGGAGAGAAAGGAGAAAAGAGTGAAAAATATGTGAGGACTAAATTGGAGGTTTGAGTGAGAAAGTGTAAAATGTTCTCTTGTAGAGTGAGAGAGCCTTATAAATTAAAAATGGGGCCAATGAATATGATTGTGTGTTTTCTTTCAACCACTGGGATAAGAGCTGTACTACTTTGGTTAAGCTTCAGGGAGGTTAAAAGACCACTTCTTACGTTTGTTAATTACTGTTGACCACCATGGTCACACCTGAGTTACAGACTTGGGCATCAGCCACGCCCTGCGGACATTCAGGTTCTAATAGAAACGTGAAAACCGGCACCATTTCTTTGTAGTGCCATTAGTAATTTTTACATGGTTAAGACAGTACTTTTTCCAACATGCTTTTTAAATGACCAAGAAGGCATGAAAATAAGGAAATTTACTCTTTTTTATTTATTTTTTTAAAAATTTTTTTAATACATTTTATTGATTTTTTACAGAGAGGAAGGGTGAGGGATAGGGAGCCAGAAACATCGATGAGAGAGAAACATCAATTCAGCTGCCTCCTGCACGCCCCCCACTGGGGATGTGCCCGCAACCAAGGTACATGCCCTTGACCGGAATCGAACCTGGGACCCTTGAGTCCGCAGGCCAACGCTCTATCCACTGAGCCAAACCAGTTAGGGCTACTCTTAATTTTACATTTCTTTCAATTGGGCAGCAAGTACTCAGTTGCACAATTCCCAACCATCTGAAGTGAGAGACAGAACAATGTGTACTTTCAGAGGCCCTGAGATACCCCTTCGATCTTAAAATGAAGTGATTATTTCTTAGTTATAAAACTGAGTAATTAGAGATCCAAGAAGCTTATAACTTTGTAATTTGTAAATTAACAAATATAAAAATTACTCCTGGAAGAATTAGCATTTTAAGCCCCATCAGTTGCATCTTGGGTTGAATCTTTTACTGAGGGTAGCTTTGAATAGGGGAAAGCCCAGACACCCTTAGAACCTTGCCTGTTTTTTTCCTAAGATAATTAAGACCTTCAAATGCCCTAGTTAACATTACTCAAGGATGCTAAAAACTTCCTAAAAAAAAAAAAAAAGCTATAGGGGGAAAATGTTTTTAAATGACTTCAAAAGTAGAATAATCATGCTGTGGGCTGGAATCGGAAAGAAAGAGATCTTAAAGATTTAAGGTTTGAAACAACGCCATTACGGATTTTGCTGCCCAGCAGTATTCTTCCTCGACGTGGAAGTGTGGATTTGACTCCCTTCCTGAGGAAGCATCCTAACATGAGTGAACCCCAGAGCTTTACTTTGCTCCCAGGTCTTTCCAGAATTGGCAACTAAAGTTTCAGCTCAGTCCTTTTCAACATCTTTTTCTTTATAGGAATGTGCACATCCTCAATGCACTCCCATCAGCATGGCCTTAAGCCTCTTTTCGGTGAAAGGACTCATAGTTTAAAAGCTTCCCCTATGCATAATTGGGTAGATATGCGCACATTCCTGCTCATGTCCCAGCATTGCTCCCTCTCCAATACTTGCCAGGACTATTTTAAATGAAAAGAGACTCAAACTGGAAAAATAAACCCTAAAATATCTTTGACTAAAATGTTAAGTGTTTTTACTCCCAGATATCCAGTGGTGCTTGTCTTATGAGAAATTTTAATTGTGATAAGAAACAGAGAATACTTGAAAATAAATTTTCAAATGTAGGTATGGTAGGTAAATCTTGACACCCACATTCCCCTTCATAAAAATACATCGGAATTTAAAAGATGAAGATGATAATCTTGGATCTGCTTTGATTTATCAATAAAAGAAATCATTCGCAGCTTATAGTGCTCTAGTATGTATGTCACACCTTGAAACTCATCACAACACCTACATGTGTCTTGATGCCTTGCTGGAGAAACAGTTCTAGACTATTCTGATCTCAAATCTCAAAGAAAAATCCTCCCAGTGACAGCTGGATATGTTGTAGGAGGATAAAAAACCATTGTAGATATAACCATCCCTTTGATATAGCTTTCAAACTTCTGGGGTAGAGATAAATATGAGCAGCTTGAACTGAATTTATCCTGTGATACTGACACTTGCAGCAAATTGGAAATTGGAAATTGGAAAGGAAATTGGAGCTCAATATACACAACTGCACCTGGGCCATTACTGCATCGCCTCTACCATTAAGACAAAGAGCAGAAAGAGCCACGGCAAGCGATGCCTCTATTTTGTATGTTGTACACCTCCAGTTGTTCTTTCATTTGTTAGTGGCTGTTGTATGCTGATACTCCTTAAACAAAGGTTTTAACAGCACTGGAAAAGAGATATGCTGCTTGTATTCTCTGCACATAGGGAATATTATGTAACCTTGTTTCCCAGTGTGACTTAGAACTGCACTCAGCTTCTCTGTGTCTGTGTGTACATGAGGGCTTTTTCATCTTTTATACGCTTAGCAACCCCCATCATCTAGTTTTGGTCCTAAATATGGGCCATGAACACTCCTGACCTCTTGTCTTTTTCAGGACCTAGTTGGTATAAGTGGGAAGGGCCTGCATTGGGGACTGGAAAACCCTGGGTTCAAATTCTACAGGCTATTATGTACTTTGGACATGTCACTTCTCTAAAACTCCTATAAGTAATCCACTCCCCTGGGCACTCGGGTTAACATGTGACAGGGGCTACCACATAGTGTTTAAGGATGAAATACAGGCTCCATTCTCATTAGCATTATGCTCCTTTACTGTTAAAAACTACTGAAGTGGCAAATGCTGATTCGAGTGCTTACTTAAAAAAAGGAGAGAAAAAAAAGACAGTTGAAAGCTAATTCAATCCTGAAAATTATTTGGACCTCTTCTAATTAACATCCTCTGCACATAGTCATTGCTTCCTCTCTTTTAACAAAGGAAAGGTTTTGGAGTTCCATGACTTGGCCTTTTGTAAGCCTTGTTTCTCTCCTCTCTTCTTCCCGCTTTGGATGGATGGATGCAGCTTTGATCACCATTCAACTTTGTGCCATGAAGAAATACAAAAATAAAAACGGATTAAAAATGATTTCCTTGTTAACACGAAGATTCTAGATTTTCTCCTTCTCACAAGGTATGAGTCCTAAGTTTGCTTTGAGGTTGACAGGCTCTGTTCCTCGGGCTCTCTCAGCTCTCCTGGTTGTGGTCCTCTGGGCACCAGTACCCCAGCTCCAGGCTCCTGACCTTGGGCCCCTGTCAAGTTTCTGCTGCCCAGCACCTCTCCTTTGGTTACAAGACCTTTCTCATACAGCTCTCTGAGAAATGTCTAGTCTTCTTCTTCTACTTGGGTACAGTAACATAAGTTCTCCCTCTAAGATTTCCTCTATTTTGGCTAGTTACACATCTCCTTTTTCTGCTCCATAGACTCCATATGAAGGGTAAAGAACACTTTAACTCCAACAACCTACTACTTAGAAAAGTACTAGCGGGTTACATGTGATAACTTGAGTGGATGGTGTAACTGTAAAGTTTGTTTTGTTTTAGGAAACAGAAAACAGGCACATACCTATATTCTCATATTCTTTCTCTCTCTCTCTCTCCTTGTCCTGTCCATTGTTTCAGCTTGCCTCTGAA